AACTGTCTTTGAAAGTATACCACCTTGAACTTTGACAAGTTTGAAACGAGGTCTGACAATAGTAGTTTTATCTTCTGCTTGCAGTCTGTACATTTTGCCATGTTTGCCTAAAACTTCATAATATTCTCTTGTATACTTTCTTCTATTTTTACGAACACGAACGTGAGTACCTGTCGAGTTCCCATTGTTGTCATAGTCAATAGTATTTTCATATGGGTCGCGTTTAGGTATTTCTATTTTTACTTTGTCACCTTTCTTAAGTTTGAAGCCTGGCATTCTTTCTTGTTTGTCTCTTTTGACTAAACTATTAAATATATAGTCTTTCTCTAAGTCAGGGTTGTTTTTCATTTCTTCGGGGGAGTGGTTTCCCAAACCTTTTTGTTTACGGGTATTGTAAATATTTAAAACTTGTCTCATCTTTGCCATGGAGAAATGTCTATACTTGTCGTCATATGACATTTCATCTACCTCACCACCTTGTGGTTGGTTTAAGTCTCTTAAGATTTTTATACAACTGTCAATGACACCAAGAGCAGAATGGTTTTGGTCGACAATGAAATATTGGTTTACATTTTTTGAACGCAGATAGTTTTTAATATCGTCTGATTTGAAAGAACGTTCACAGTCAGATGTCAGTTTTGTTGGATGGTATTTGTCAACGAATATTGTCAAAGCAGTTTTTACATCTAAAATATTTTTGGACTGTAATGGTATAGCTTCACAGTATCTTGTGTTTTGACCGACAAATATTAGCCAGTATGGAGGTCCATCTTCTCTATACCTCGGAATGTTTTCCAAGATATCCATAAACCAAGCATTTGGTGTTGAACTAAAGATTTTTACCATGAGTGCTTTCTTTGTTGCCTTAGAAACATAGGGGTCCTTGTTTGGATTCGTCATTTTTACCCCATAAGAAATGGGTTTATTTGGCGCATTAGCAGGAGTCGCATCTAGATTTTTACCCGCAGTGGGAACAATAGCCAGAGGTGCATTTGGAATTGGAAGGAAGATTTTGAGTACATTAGGTATACTGAAAGAGAAAGCGCAACCTATTATACAAACCGTACAGAAAGGTTGGGAGGTAGCACGAGATGCAGCAAATCTTATTCCAAATCCTGAAACAAGAGGAAAAGTTCAAGGATGGATGGACAATGTAGGAAGAGAAGCAGGAAACTACTATAACAAAGCAAATGACTACTATAACCAAGCAGGACACTATATGGACCAAGGTGAAAGATTCTTTAACAGAGGATATAACCATGCACAACAGTGGGTAAACAACAACCAACCTCAACCGCCTCAAACGTGGGGAATGTAAAATTTTTTACTGAGATGAAATGAACAATACAGCATTGAGACAAATGGTTCAAGATGGATTTGTCGACTTCCAGCAGTTACACAACCACGTGTTTGTCAAGTTCTTCCTATACCTCAAGAAGTTTTAGACCGACTTAAAAAACCTAAACAACCAGTTGAAAACAAACCAAACTAAAATTTTTTACTGAGATGAAATGACCGAAGAAGTTGAAACGGTAGATTTGACACCACAAACAAAAAGTTCAGAACCATTGTCAAAACCTGTCAAAGAACTTACAGATAAGAGAAAAATTCAATAATAGAAAGTGCCAGGTCTGGAAATACAAACCCTAACTATAAAGTCACTTTTCATAGAAATGGAACGGCTAGTATCTCAAAAAAGAAACAGACTCTCACAAATAAAATATTGAAGTCTGAAGGAGCTTTCGAGACAACAGATGGGAAGGTATTCTTCACCGACCAACAGTTCATTATAGAACATCTCATTGACTTAGAGTCGAAATATTCTAAACTTTACAACAAACACAAAAAGTTGAAAGGAAAACAAAAACAAATGGCATATGATATTTATGAAGATGTTGACAACACAACCATACCTGCAAGTGAAGTAAAGTCAGAGGAACCGAAAAGTGACGAAAAACCGATAGAAGAAGGGGAGCCAAAAACTGAAGATAAACCAAAACCAAAGTTTAGTCTCCAGACTAAACCAAGTCAACCTTCATTAGCTGGTATGGGTTGGCGTCAAAGACTTTTGGCAGCGGGTGGTTACGTAAAGTAAAGAAAACAGTATATTTTTTTATTTTATTTGAAATGTACGCTGAGTTTGTTGGAGAGGACCGTTGGGAAACTTGTTTGTTAGATGAGAAATATGAAATGGCATACCATTTTAAACAACATTTTTCAAAAAAAATATTTTTTTATTTTATTTGAAATGTACGCTGAGTTTGTTGGAGAGGACCGTTGGGAAACTTGTTTGTTAGATGAGAAATATGAAATTCACTGTTGTGAGTCATTTGAAGTCAGAAACAAAAAGACAAAAAGAGTTTTAAGCGAATGTGAGCGAAATGACGGATATGCTAGGATGAGGATTGGTGAGAAATGCTATTTTAAACATATTGTCATTGCAACTCATTTTATACCGAACCCTAACAATCTACCTTTTGTAGACCATATAAACCGTATAAGAAACGACAATAGACTTGAAAACTTACGCTGGGTCACTCGTTCTGAAAACAATAAGAACAGAGGCAAATTTGGAGATATAGTATTCGAATTTGTCGACGAACTAGAAGATGAAGCAATTGAAATTACAGACTATGGCAAGCATACGTTTGAGTTTTACTACTATAGCGAAGAACAGGACTCTTTCTACTTTTATACCGGCGTAAACTATAGGAAATTACAAGTATGTTTTACTAAGGAAGGCTATGCTTATGTAAACACTAGAGATACAGATGGAAAACACGTTAAAATACTTCTTAACAAATTCAAGAAGCTATATGGCATACCATTTTAAAACAGTATATTTTTACATATATTAAATGCTTCAGGTTGAAAAACAAAGAACAAAAGTAGCAGATACAAAACCGTTAGACTATATCTTTACAAACGCTGGTAGGACTATATCAGATGAAGAAATTTTATCTCGAATTGTCTTTCATATATAACTACGGAGAAGTGCTGAAAAAGTATTGAAAAATAATGTTTAGGTGAAGAGGTGAGATTTCACCTCTTTTTTCACCTGTTTTTTCACCCTCTTGAATTTTCATGAATTTCCTTAAGATAGAAAAAAAGTGAGTTAAAATGAGATGTTTACTGAACTGGTTGGATGTCGCCTTCACAGGTTATGTAGAACGGCAGACCAGAGAAGTGGAATAGTGCTCTGAGAATTTGTATAATTCGTGGAATTGGACTCTCTCTGTTTGGAAGTTGTATCCATGGGCGCTTTGCAAAGAACTTGAGAAGAGCTTCTTTCTTCATCTCCTTTATGTCGTCTACAGGAGTGTTTCTGTTTTTGGTATTTGAATTGGAATTCCAGTCGAAATCTCGATTTTCAGCGCACCTCTTCCAGACAACCAGCAGCCGAGGGACTTGTTGGCTTTGTCCTTGCCCAAGTACTGCTTAACAACTTCATTTATCTCTATAAGGTAAATTGCCTCATCTAATGGCTCGATGCTGTCCATTGTTCTGTTTCAGAACTAGTCTTGTTCTGTTTCAGAACTAGTCTTGTACTTTTTCAGAACTAGTCTTGTTCTGTTTCAGAACTAGTCTTGTACTTTTTCAGAACTAGTCTTGTACTTTTTCAGAACTAGTCTTGTACTTTTTCAGAACAAATTTCCCGTAAAAGCTCTCAATTTGAGAGAAAAATTTTCTGTTTCAGAACAATATTTGTTCTGTTTCAGAACAATATTTGTACTGTTTCAGAACAATATTTGTACTGTTTCAGAACAATATTTGTACTGTTTCAGAACAATATTTGTACTGTTTCAGAACAAGTCTTGTACTGTTTCAAGACAATATTTGTACTGTTTCAAGACAATATTTGTACTGTTTCAAGACAATGTCCGACGGTTAAGCCACAAACGAATGTCCGACGGTTAAGCCAAAAATATTTTTTATTTTTATTGTAAGAACTGAAAATGACAGTCGAAGCAAAAACGTTCACGAACAAATCTAATGGCGAAACATTCACAAAAGGCACTTACAACGGTATTGAAGTCTTACGTAGAGACAAGGATGGTTATATAAATGCAACAAATATGTGTCAGCAGTTTAGGAAAGACTTTAGAAGGTTGTTGGAAAATAAGTCCTGGGAAGAGTATTTTAAGGCATTTTGTGAAGAATATACCAACCCGCGGAAAACAGCGGGTTGCTTTTTATACAAAATTCATGCAGGAATTCCTGATGAAATCAAACAGGTTAGAGGAATGTATGTAGACCCAAGACTTGTAAACTATATTGCAATGTGGGCTTCTCCAAAATATTGTATAGCAGTTGGAAAAATTCTGGACTCCATAGACAAGAAAGTTCATGAGAAATTAGATGAAGAAGAACTTGAAGATACAGTAGAGAATGCAAAACCTTTGTTCGAAGAAGAAGTTAGAAAAATGCATGAAAAACAAATAGAACATGAACGTGAGATATGTTCTGGTTATAGAGATTCTCCATACGAACTAGACCAATGGGAACAAGAAGATTTAAAGAGAGAATTTAGAGAATATGAACTCGCTAAAGTTTCATTAGAAGCTGCAGAAGAGAGGTTAAAAGTTTGGGGTCGTTTTGTACAAAAATATTGTGAGTAAATGAACCATTTTTTTTTATTGAATTCAGCAAAAATAATGTTTAGGTGAAGAGGTGAGATTTCACCTCTTTTTTCACCTGTTTTCTCACCCGTTGAATTTTGTATAAAAGCAACCCGCGGAATTCCGGCGGTTGGTATATTCTTCACAAAATGCTTGTTTTGAGGTCGAGCCACTTTTGGCTCCATCGTATTCTTTCAACCAAAATTCTTGAGTTTTGTTCTGAATTCAATAAAAATATATTTTAGGTGAAGAGGTGAGATTTCACCTCTTTTTTCACCTGTTTTTTCACCTCTTGAATTTTCATGAATTTTGACACTTTCACAAAAAACATAAAAAAAGTTAGTTTTTAAAAAAAATATTTTTTATTTTTATTGTAAGAACATGTTAGCAACAACAGCACCAAACTCGTTAGTCATGAACCCAACATCTATGTTAGTAGAGATGAAAAGCTTCATTCCTTCTTCATATACTTTCGAAACAACAATCCAGAAGATAAAGCAAGAACTTCTCCAAGGAGATTTAGATTGCACTGCGAAAGATGAAACAAATGAAGAATATCTTTATGAAATGCAGGATATTATTGACCATCTACCTAAACTTCCTGAAATCCAACAACAAAAGCTTACTATTCCAGAATTCGATGAAATAGAAGTCAAAGCAACTGACTCAGTAGAAATAAAGAAGTTCATACGAAAGGTAAATTATGAATTCCTTGGTTTTCATTGCAACCATAAAGTCATGGACAAAGATTGCGATATGGTATATAAGAACATCTCTGACATATACAAATCTGGGGAGTTTAAGACCTACGACAACTTTGTTTCGTTAGTTGCAAAATGTGTTTGGGAAATAAGAGATAAAGATAGTAGGGGTAAGGTATGGAACGAACAAATAAAACCCGCTATGTTCGAGATGAAGAGAGCAATTGACGCCTTAGTTGTTTTAGCAGGTAAGGTTTCAGAATATAACGCAAAAATGAACCCGCAATGTTCAAAATGTAAAGCAGCAATGAGGAAATATAACTACTCAGTCAAAGAGATAGAACGTATGAGAAACGACTATGCAGATTTAAAGAAAGAAGCAGAAAAACCAGCAGAAGATAAAATGGACATGTTAGAATTTCTGAACAAAAACTATCCAACAGCAGAAGATTTCCTTCTTTCAGATGTCAAGAAGAAGTATAAAGAAACTTTCGGTATCGTTAAAACATTCGATGTACTGACAGAAGAAATAGAAGCTACGAAATTGTTTAGGATTTCAAATATACATCATACAATTCATGTAAAACGCTTATAAAATAACAGGTGAAAAAAGAGGTGAAAAAAGAGGTGAAATCTCACCTCTTCACCTAAAATATATTTTTATTGAATTCTGTATAAAATTCTGAGTAAAATGACATATGGAACACATACTTTTTCAGTAAGGACATATGGGGTAGAAATGAGGGTAGAAAACGGGGTAGATATACCCTTCTACCCTAAAATATATTTTTGTCTGTTTTACACTCATTGACGATTAAAGTCTTGACAAAACATATACGATGAAGTCTTGACAAAACATATACGAAGAAGTCTTGACAAAACATATACGAAGAAGTCTTGACAAAACATATACGAAGAAGTCTTGACAAAACATTTACGATGAAATCATGAAAATTCATGAGGTGAAAAAAGAGGTGAAAAAACAGGTGAAATCTCACCTCTTCACCTAAAATATATTTTTGCTGAAAAAAATGACCAAATTTCATGAATTTCCTTAAGACAGAAAAAATAACGCTAGTTTTTTATAAAATATTTTTTTTATTTTGTATGTAAAGACAGATATGTCAACATCAGAGAACACAACAACTGCTATCGTTCATGAAGCCATAAATGAAGAATATGAGTACATACAGTTTAACAAACAACTCCGTCTCATTCGTTCGGTCAAAGATGACATGTACCAAATGCAAAGTATTTTGACAGCATGTTTTGCTCCAGATACTAAGAAACCACAAGACTGGTTTGAATTAAATAGCACTCATGAACTCCTCAGTGAGTTTGAACATGTAGAACTTAAAAAGATGTACCAAGACAGACAAAACTTACCATCACATCTAAAAGGTATATATGTTCATAAGTTCCTAGTTAGTTCAATAGCAATGTGGGCTTCGCCTCGCTATGCTTGGTATATTTACAGACTTCTTGACGAAGTTGCTGAAAAATACATGTAAAGCGTTTATTTTTGGTCTTTTATACAAGATAGAAAATAACGCTAGTTTTTTATAAAATATTTTTTTTATTTTGTATGTAAAGACAGATATGTCAACATCAGAGAACACAACAACTGCTATCGTTCATGAAGCCATAAATGAAGAATATGAGTACATACAATATAACAAACAGTTACGTCTCATTCGTTCGGTCAAAGACGATATGTACCAAATGCAAAGTATTTTGACAGCTCTTCGTTCTACAAAGCAAGCATATCATTGGTTTGAAAACCAGCAGGCAAAAGAACTTTTAGAAGAATTTCCTCATATGTTTGCGTTCCTCGGAAAACCGAGGAACGAGATTCCGTACGAAAATCGTAAAAATTTGCCAAATAGTTTGAAAGGATATTATGTTCATAGACTTCTTGTAAATGCTGTTGCAATGTGGGCTTCGCCTCGTTACGCTTGTTATATTTTCATGATGTTAGATGAAATTCATAGACAAGAACGTGAAGAGATGGAAAAGAAACTTCAAGCAAAAGATGAAGTCATTGAAGCAAAAGATAAAAACATTCAGAAAAGAATACCACGTTCGGTACCAAAAGGAAAGGAAAAGAACTATAAGTATATGATTTACACTGAAGAGATGGAAAATGAAGAAGACAGAGATATGGTTATGTTGCATTTAGTCAGAAGAAACAACAAAAGCTTTTACGACTTAGCTAAGATTTACAAATCTGACAGAAATTGGTTCTATCGCGAAAACTTACCGATTTCAATGACACCGAATGAAGATGTTAAACAGATAGTTCAAGATACGTTACCTCAAACACACTATGATATGAAAGGTTGTACAATACTTACATTCAAAGAAGATTTGCCGCTACTGAAAGAAAAAATAACAGAGTATTTTGACAACTTCAAACAAGCAGAGTAGATGAACCATTTATTTTTCAAGCTTGACACCAAAGATGGCTCAGGTAGCTCTATAAGGTAAATTGTCTTGTCAAATCCTTCTGGCATTCCGAGTCCTTCCTTCCGACAAGAAAAAAATTTCCCGACAACTGGAAAAGTTTTTCTTTCCGACAGGAAAAGTTTTTCTTTCCGACAGGAAAAATTTTTTCTGTTGTCCGTCCGTAAACCATTCAAATTTTCGAAAATTGAGAACTTTTTGGTCGAACTTCAGGAAAAGTTTTTCTTTCCGACAGGAAAAGTCCTTCCTTCCGACAGGAAAAGTCCTTCCTTCCGACAGGAAAAGTCCTTCCATCCGACAGGACACAAACGAATGTCCGACGTACCACCAACCGAGTCCATTCCAAAGCCAGAAGAACCGACAGCCCCAGCACCACAACAGACTAAGACTCAAACACTTACATTTTTCAAGCTTGACTTTTTACAATTTGAACTTTGTTCGCGTAGATGTGAATTCTGAAAGAAGTATGAGGGTCTTGTATGACTTTGTACTTCTCCCATAGTTCATGTCTGTCAAACTTACCTGCCATGGACTCTTTCATAAGTTCCATGAAATCGTCTTCGGACAATCCAGGGAAAAGTATGATATCAGTAAGTATTCTTTTAACATCCTTACTTAAACTCTTTGCTGTCTGTACACAAATGACAACTGAGATGTTAAAGTGTTGAGCTTCTTAAGAATTCGACACATGTCTTGTTCTCTGTTCTTTAACAAAGGATGAGAAGCAAAGTCATCTAAGATAAGAAGACATCTGTGAGGGTAAGTCTTCCAATCGTAGATTGCAATTTCTTCGAAAGGGATTCTATCTCTTTCTGGTTGTTTCTGAAGGGTTTCTTCTCTAATATTCTCTGCATTTCCTCATTTGGGTCTTTAAACCTCGAATTGACATACTCATTTATAGCATTGTACTTCAAAACTCTTCTTTGGTACTTCTTTATCCAATCTAACAACTCAGAGTCTTTTATACATACTAACTTAGACTTTTTATAATATCTTTGAACGAATTTACGGTTTGGTCAAATTGACCAGAAGTACTACAAATGACTACTAACTCATAGAATGGGTTCTTCTCATCTAGTTCTTGTTGTTGTGCAGCCATTTTAAGATAAGTGAAAGTCTTACCCGACCCAGGTGGTGCGATTAGACCTGTTTATACCATTCTGAGCAAATAGAACTTGTCATGTATAGGCTTTATCTGAGCATTTTCCAACTTCCTCTTGTTCTTATTTAAAACATTCTCAAATTTCTTGTCAATGTCAGCAAACTTTTTTTCTAACATATTTTTAGAAAAATTAAAAATTTTATCTTTTAGGAAAATGTCTAGCGATTTCGCTATCTATATTCGAGACAAGCTTTTCGACAGCAAAACATCTGTAGACCATAAATCTTACATAGTGTAAACAAGAAAGGTGAATTTGTTCTAAAGTTCTGTTTCTGGGAATATGACAAGAACCATAAAACATTAAGCAGAGCAGTCTTAAAATTTGTCAATGACAGACTTGTTGACAGAGATGACGCCGATTGGAAAGATGAAGTCAACAAAAGTTCTTAGAATGCAAAGAAGGCACATGCGCTGTTCTTGAAGATGAAATAGAAAACAGAATAGATGAGCTATTAAAGGACAAAGAACTTTTACAAAAATATGGTTGCGCCAAATTTGACATAACTCCACCAGAGAAGAAGAAGAAGAGAGAAAAGAAAGAAAAGAAAGTAGAAGAAAAGAAAGTAGAAGAAGAGAAGAAAGAACCAGAGCCAGAGCCAGAGAAAAAGAAATTTGACATGTAAAAATAAAATTTTATTTTTAGAACATTTCTGGGTCAATGTCAATGTTCTCTTCCTCTTTAGGAGCAAACACTGGTTTAGACTCTAAAATCTTTTTACCCAATTTACCTTGAACTTCAACTATCTTAGACTCATAATATTCATAGTCGTCTGTCTTCTTTGGTTCATAAGGTATAACAAGTTTGTATGCTTTGCCTTCTTTAAGGTTTGAGAACCTTCTGTCAAATTTCTTTGACTGCTAACAAACCTTCTATGTCTAAGTCTTCAAAATTTCGCACCATTTTTAGTCACAATAGCAAACTTAACGGGTTCGATGTTCCAAACTTTGTCATATGTAGACTTTTCAAAATGGTAGAAGTAAACATTCAAATAAGCGAATGGGTCTAGTTCTTCTTTAAGTCCTGACATGTACTTGTTTACTGAGATGAATTTTGCCATCTTTTCTATCGGATAAAAAAATATTTTTTTAAAATTTACTCAGAAAAATTTTTCTTTGTATATACGCCGTTCTGAACATCTAAAAGATTTTTGACATTTGCCAAGAATGTTCGTTTAGACGCTGTCATATAACCATACTCTTGGCAATATTGTTTATATTCATCGTACAATGACCTTTCATCTAAACACTCAAAGTTAGTCTCATCTATAAACAGTTCATATACACTCTTGTTTGCTTCTAACAATGTTTGTCTCTCTTCGGTATGTGGAATTTGTCTTGGATTGAACTTTGAAATATCTAATGTCATGAAATATGAGAACAAGTGGTTGTAAAAGTTAGGTGTCAAAGTTTCTGACAAAGCGTCAAAATATTCTGTATCTTGCATATGAGCTTCTGACGTTCTGACAACTACATATCTTCTGTCAGAACTTTCTAACTTCATCGGAACGGCGTTGTTTGAAACCATGATGAAATTTGCAACATTTTCACAAACTCTTTGGTCTTTATATTTTCTTTCAACAACTCCAACTTTGTCTGTTATAAGACTCTTCAAAGCATCTGAGTTTAAAACCTTTGTTGTATCTATACTTTGAAGTTCGTTACATACTATAAGTTTCATATTCTCTATTGAAGAGTTAAATTTACCGCAGATGTTTTCTAAGTTTGTCATATTCGGGTTCGAATAACCTTCTAACAGTTTGCATAAGATATCTGTAAAGAAAGTGTTCTTACCAGTTCCTTGTTTTCCAATTATAATGAGAGCAGTTTCATTTTTAGCACTTGGATATTGTAAGATGTTTGCAAACCAACATAAGATATACTCATAAACCTTTTCGTTTCCATTGCATATAATTTCTTTGACATGGTCTAACCAAGCTTCTATAACACTTTCTTTCCATTCTACTTGTTCGTATTTATATCCAGTGAAGATAGAATAGAAGTTTGGAGAAGGTGTATAGAACTTTATACCACGAACTGAAAAATCTTCTAACTTCGACAATAAGATATCCCAAGCATCTAACATTTTCATGCCAACCTGTACGACTTTTATTTTCTTAAGTTTCTGTCTACATTCTTGTTCAGACACTATGGTTGCTCTTGGTTTGTTAAAGACAACATCCCATTCTTTCATGACATAACATTCTGGGGCAGAGTCGACATAAATGACTAAACGTTTCAAATTCTCGACTGCTTTGTTATAGTCTCTAAATGGACACATATTTCTGAACGCTTGGAAGTCATAAAAATCTGAAACGTCTATTCTGTACATTTTTATAAAAATAAAAAAAAAATATTTTTTTTATTCTTGACTTTGTTGTTGCATTTGTTGCATTTGTTGTTCTTGAGCTATTTGTTGTTGAAGTTGTTCTTGTAATACAATACTTTCACCAGTTGCATCTTCCAATTCGAAACTTTCTGCCGTCATTGACAAATACATAGGACATAAAAGTTTTACAGGAACAAAGTTTGCGTCGACTAAGGTTAAGTTTATGTTTGCTAAAGTGTTTGAGTTTACTAAAGCTGAAAATTCTGCATTCGAATGAACAATAGGCAAACCAGCAGAGAAAGTTTGTTTATACGCATGAGTATCTTTTGGTCATAGTAGTTTCTGTCGACATTCGAATAGCACTTTGAACCTAAGTTTGAAACAATATATAAAATAGGTGTACTTAAAGTCAATGGAACAGACAAACCTTGTATGACACCTTTTCCTGTTATAGGAAACTGTTGGTAGTAAAAACAGATATAAGTTTTGTATTATAGCTCATATCGTTTATACTAAACTCAGTCGGACATCCAAACATAATGAAACCTGCTCTAGTTGCAGCACATGTTACATCCGTCCTTAAAGTATTAAATAAGTCAACAAAACTGTTGGTGGTATATCTGAGTAAGTATCTTCAAAGAGTATTTTTTACCATTCACAACAACAAAGTCTTCTGGTGTCAAAAGAGCAAAACAGGCTTTAGTCGTCATCGTGTTTAAGGTCGTTTACAATATCGTCCTTGAGGACTTTGTAAGTTTGTTGTTATAGAATTATATGATCAGGGTTTTTAGTCGTAATAGTATAAACCACTATGTCTTCTGCCATTTACATATATTTTAAAAGTTTTTCTGAAAGTGGAGAAGAACTTCATCTAAACTTTCACATGGCGTTTCTTGAAGTTCTCTGTCTAAGAAGTTCAAATATTTGTAAAGACATAGAACTTTCCTTTGTCTACACGAAAAACAAAACAGGGTCTTTCATATCGTTCAAAAGTGTGTAAAGTCCTTTACATGAAATAAAGTCTATATTATTTTTTCTTCAAACATCTTTCAAGAAGTTTTGACATTTTTACTTAGCAACTAAATTTTAATGAATGATTGTGGTCGTCAATATTTTTATGACGTCTGGGAAACTATATTTTAAGTTCAACGTTTCACCTCCTTTCATAACGTATATCTTGTCAATGACATTGTATGAAACACCACAAGCAATGTCGGGTTCTATTTCTTTGATGTTTATATCGTCTGCCTCTGTCAAAAGTTTCAATAGTTTTTCAAAATTTCATGAGGTGCGATGACATATGAGTTCACTTTTACAGGGTTGTGTTCGACCAAGTTTAACATTATACCCAAAGCTGACAAATCTTCTCCTGAGTTTAAGTTTGTCTTTAAGTTGTTGGTAGTCATTTCGAATATTGCAACAGAACTTAAGTCTCTGCTAACTTCAGGATATGTTGGTTGTTCTTTTACAGGAACA